ATCCCTATATGGGAGCCGACCCCGCGGCGGGAGCGCTGCTGCACGCCCAGCCGCACTCTCCCGAGTGCGCCACGGGCTCGGCCCATGATTTTACTTTTAAAAATGAAGACTAGGGTCTTCGGGGAAAGAAACTTTAGAGTACATATTTTTGTACTTTCAAATTTTTTTAAAACCATATGTATGTGTTGCTTTAATAATAAATAATGTAGTTGCTAAACTCCACAAATTAAAGGATGGCCCATAATATTAAATTTTATGCATTTCAGTAATATTCTAGAAGTTTCATAGGATAAATTCTTACCTTTTTGTATTTATGTGGATATGTACATCTTTCAATTGTCCCCTGGGATGCTCCACGATTAACATTTCCTAATCTTTCTTCCAAATGAATTAGTTCCTGAAAGTAATAAAAAGCCAGGATGATTATTCCTTAAATGGTATTGTTAATATTGTAAAAGCAGTAACTTCCATACTTATAAACTTGCAATATAAATATAGTGTTCAAAAAACTTATATACATAAAAACTTATATACAAGATACATGGTTGTTTATAGATTTTTCTTATATATGGTAAGGCAAATCATTGTTCATAATGTTTTTTCCAGCCAACTGAAGCAGTATAGCAAAATTAACCTTATAAATTAGGGCAACAATATTACCACATCATACTATACAGGTCAGTGAGTACGTATGCATGTAGAAGATGAAATCATTCTCGTACACTAGGGAAACAAATCAATCAACAATAGGTCTAGTAAGTCATATTGACTCCAACTTCCAAATTCACATTAAGAACCACAAAAAAATTTAAATAATACTCAAATGATTTTTTGTTCCTGAAAATTCAAATGAGAAAACATTTTGCTATAAAGTGAATTACCTATATTTCTTTTTCTCTAGCAATGTTTCTCTAAAAATTAAGCTCCATCAAAAATATTAAGGGTTTTTCCCCCACATTTAATGGTATTTTTTAAAAAATCAAATATTTATATAGATTTAATACATTTTTACATTCTTTTACATTAGATATTTTAATTTACTCTTCTTTAAATACTTGGGTAACTTTTGACTCTAAGATTAATATTGCTAGGGCAGGTCGATTAGCTCACTTGGGAGACCATGGTGCTGATAACACCACAGTCAAAGGTTCAGATCCCCATACTGGCCAGCCACCCACCCCCCTCCCACCAAAGATTAACATTGCATATAAATGTTTCTGTACCTCCCAGAAGCAATAACAGAAAATCAGACATTTTACTGCCTTCTGATTCCCAGCCACTGCAGCAGCCTTATACAATTGTGAATATTAATAGCACATATGAGGTATATACTATCTCTGCACTAAAGATATGGCAAATAATCTTCATTTATCTTATTACATACCTCAAAATTGCCCCTGAAAGGACCTCTAAATGATGTTCCATCCAAACCTGATGAAATGTAACGAATGTGAGGATAGCCAGCCATGTCTGGAACCTATTTTAATAGAAAAGATAGGCTAAATCAATTAAGAATAGTCTTGTGGTTTACTATCATTGAATAATTCAAGACACTCAATGCTCTCCAACTATTCATAAAATTTAACTTCAGTAAGAATACATAACTCCAACTCAGCATTCTGTAACAGAGTTAGATTCTTCTTAAAATATAATCAAAAGAAATACAGGGAAACATAGCTATTTCATAACAGATTTCTTCTACTTGATTTATCTTGCACAAAGAATCCTATGTAGAAAATATTCAAACTTAATCCTGATGCTCTTAGTGGTACAAACTTGAAAAGGGTAAATTTTCATAAGATCTTTATTGACAAATAAAAATACACAGAATTTTCTAACAAAATGTACTTCAAGATAAAAATTTTACGTCCATCTTCACTTTTCGTTAGGTATAGTCAATTTTCATTATTTGTCGGTTCCATATGTGTGAACTGGCCTGCAGGCTAAAATTTATTAGTAACCTCAAAATCAACACTTGTGCTTTCAGAGTCATTTGTGGACATGCACAAAGTGGCCAAAAATTTGAGTTGCCCAACATGCATATTCCTGAGGCAGAACAAGGCTCTGCCTTCTTTTTCCAGTTCATACTATAAACAAGTGCTCCTTCTACAATCTATTTAGTGGTATACTTTTCACATTTTTGTGTTTTTTATTGCTGATCCTGTTAATTAAAATGGTCCCCAAGTATAGTGCTTGAGTACTGTCTAGTGTTCCTAAGCCAAGAAGGCTGTGACACACCTTATGGAGAAAAATGCATTAGATAAGTTTTGCTCACGCATGAGTGATAGTGTTGTTGGCTATGAGTTCGATGTTAATGAATCAATAACATATATCAAAAAAGCTGTCTTTAAACAGAACACACATAAAATAAGGTTTATACTAATCAGTTGTCACCAGAGGCTTACAGTAATCTAACCCTGTATTTACCCTAGGTGTAATGGTTCCATATTCACTAACTCAGTGTTTGCAGCAACTGGACTACCATGAATATCAAGTTAGGAAAGAGATTCTGGAACACAGCATCATTCTTCCAGCTTTATAAATAAATCTCCAACACTACTTTTTAATTAGCCTTCACTGAAGCACAACATACTTCTTGTAGGCTTTATAGTTTTAACAGATAATTCATATGTGGAAAAGAAATTTAAAGTAAGCAATTGCTTTTAACCCTCAAGCCATCTATTATACTTAAATTATCTGCAACTCTCCTTATAACCAAGATCAATACTACTCAGCAGATAACCTCCTACATATCTCCAAGGAAATCACAAAGGAACTCCTGCCTCCCAAATTCTCTAAACCTTCACTTAGCCTGAAACCTCCTAGCATCCTCCCTCTAGCTTTTGTAGATGAGCTTCTCCTTTCTCCTATTCAAAGTTAATCCCTATCACCTGCTCCCATCTCCTACTTTCCCCATCCTGGATCATGCTCAATTAACTATTCCCTATCCCTCTCTTCAACAACTACCAACAAGTCCTCTCTAATGGTTTTCTGTCTTAAACCTAAAAATATCTTAAGTTTCTCCAAACCTAAATTCTTATCTTAATCCTAGAATTATTGGCCACTCTATATCTCATGTTCCCTTCACAGCCAAGCTTATAAAGCAAATAGTCTCTCCATATTTTCACCTTCATTACTGTAATCTAAGAAGCACCTCATCTCCATCCCTCGCCATTACTGAAACCACTCTGACAAAAGCCACCAACAACTACTCTAATGCCAAATGCATTCAATGCTTTCCAAACTTTAATTTTTTTGTGATGAGACACTATTTACTATATTACTTTCTGACATAATCCTAACTTTTGTTTCTTAACTTTTTGAGCCAGTTCTCAGAATCCTTTGTTTGAAGTACGGTATTACCACTTAAATACAGTATTGTTATTCTCCAAGGTTTTTTCAGCCTCTTGTCATTAAATACATTTCTCCTGAAAATCTAATACTTTCCCATTGATTCATTATCACTGTATTGATAAATATCTTTAAACCAGATATCTTTGGAGGTCCAGGCTATAAACTTAACTTCCTACTGGACATTTGACCTTGATAGTTATCTCAGGTTCAATATGTCCAAAACCTGACTCATTTAACTCCTTCCTCAAACCTTCATCTAATGTTCTCCAACACAGTGACTGGTACAACTATAAATCTTTTAACCCACACTAGAAATCTGGGAGTCATCCTAAATATTACTCAAATGAGTCCCATCATTTTTATGCTGACTGCCATTGCCTTTGTTCAGGCATTCATCAACATTTACCTCTTCTACTGCAATGTTCTAATGAATGTCCCAATGAGTTGCTTTCTTCCCACCCTTAAATATATTTTCCACATAACTGAGGAGGTAGTCTTTCTAACTACAATCTGATTAAGTCATTATAAAAGTATAAATATGATCAGGACTTTACCCATTCAACGGTTCCTGAGTTCCAGTTTCTTGGCAAGGCAGCTTTATTTCTTATTTCTGACCCTCCACACTAAGATCTAGAAACACCAGCTTAGTTGGAGTCCCTATGCTTATGCTATTTGATAGCTCTTTACACGCTGTAACCTCTGCAAGTGCACCATTCCAAAATCCAAAGCCTGCTTAGAAGTCACATGTACATTAAAGTTTCTCTGAAACTTTCTCTGCAGTTGCCTACCCATCAGAAAAACAAAACTACTCCCTTTTCTGTACCACTTTTATAACTAGTATGCCTTACCAATAGCAAATTCAATAAATGTTTGCTGAACTTGTTCTTTAGCACTCAACTTGGTATCAATCAACAAAATTTGAACCTATTCAAATCAGATTAGTATAGTCCTTCTGCAGATTAAAAAATAAAGTACGAATGCATCAGAACAGATCTAATACCACTTAACAGCAAAATAATTAAAGCCCATGTCCTTGTGACAATGGGTCAAGATTACCTTAGTACACACACAAAAAACCACTTTTTTGAGTCATTTTGCACATTAAGAGTACATTTAACAATGCAAGTTACAAATACAGATTTTAATATATTTAACACCTCTTTATAGCACAATTTCTACCTCACTAGAACAATTATTCTCAAATTCTATTAAAACACCAATAACAACTAATGTATTATAAGAAAATATCTCCAATAAAATATTAAGTTTAGAAAAAAAAGACTACTTTTAGAAGGAGAACATGTCAGAATTTTGAAAAATTTCCATTTACCATCAAAGGAAGAGCTCCTAATTGTAAGTGATGAAGTCGAGGAGGTGCATGGTAATGGGCCAAGTGAGGATGCAATGCACCAGGTGTGTAAGTAGCTGCAGTCACTCCAGCTTCAATTCCCAGTTCCCTGACAAAGGATGACAACAGCTTAACTTTTAATCCTCCTTACAGTCTCTTTATTAACAACAGAAATTGGGAAGTATGTTTACATTTTAAAAAGTAATCTAAGGTTTCTTAACTTACAAAACTGAGAAAAAGTTAGCCCCCAAAATTTAACGAATAATTTCACATTCATTTCAGAAATGAAAACTCAAAAACACCCAATTTTGTGACCCTGAGGAGCAAAGCATTTGTACTTGGTTTCAGAACTTACAAAGGAAGGAAATATAGCGAATGGCTCCTAAGGCCCCTTCCAATCTAAAAGCCTGATTCTACTTGAGCAGCATATAAAATAGTTTACTTTTTGGTTTATCTGAATGTTACAGATGCTCTTGGGGCTTTTGTTTGTTGGATATCGTCTCTGGGTTGTTGGCATCAAGGATAATTAGAATAGCAAACTCTTCTACATCTTATAAATAAAGGAATGGTAAAATTTTAGAGAGGGTAAAACTGTATATGCTAAATGTTCATTTATTTATTCTCATTTTGCGTTCTGCCTCAAAAGTCACCATGGCTCAAGATCTCAATGCGTGCCTACACACAATGGATTTGAAAGGAAAATTTAATGAAAATATGCTTCTTTCTTCTTGAAAGACCACAAGCACAGGCAAATGTAAGTAGATTTCCCTCGACAATGACAGGAGTTGGGCAAGTCTGAGCACAAAATTGGAAGGTAGACACAGAAGTTGGGAAAAGTAGGATCAGTTTAAGGAGTTAACTCCGGTGGCAGACACCCCTAAAAACCGAAAAAATCTACACTCCTCTCACATGTGGAATCTAAAAAAGTTGAACTCATAGAAGCAGAGAGTAGAATGTTGATTACCAGAAGGGTTGGGGGATGTGGGCGGGGAAAGGGTAGATATTGGTCAACGGGTACAAAGTTTCAATTAGGAGGAATAAGTTCTGGTGTTCTACTGTACAGCATGTTGACTATAATTAATATTTCAAAACTGCTAAAAGAGAGGATTTTAAATGTACTATGAAATGATAAATATCTGGTGTGATAAATATGCTAATTAGCCTGATTTGATCATTCCACAACATACGTATGTATTGAAACATCACATTGTTCCCCACAGATATATACAATTATTTGTCAATTAAAAATAAAATAAAACTTAAACAAACAAAAAAACAAGCTCTATTTCTGCTTGACATAGTTCTCTGCCCCAGAATTCAAGGTCCTACTCTTTCCTCCCCAGGCCTCTACTTGCCCAGAGGCAGTGCCTCACAGCTAAACTGGGGATATGGTTTCTCCATGGCACTCTTCTGTATGGCATTCCACTACAAAGCATCTCTTCAGGGAGTTTTAACACAAGCTGCTGGACATTGCTTTGAAATAAACAAGATACTGACCAGGCAGATCTTTCTGGAGCCTGTCGAGGATGTGAGGACATAGTCTGAGGCACATGAATATGATGCCCATGACCATAGTTTGGGTGCATCCTATGTGGATGGGGTGGGGGGCGTTCATGTGCCCGCCTGGAAACACAGAACACAAAAAGACCACTGGAAATAATTGAATAATTGGTTATTTCTTAATGTAGAAAAAAACCTAGTATTAATATTATAAGCATCTATAGATTAATCATAAAATTAATTTTATAACAATTATAAAAATGTAATATAAAATTATTTAGTAAATCATAACCTTCTCCATAAATTCCAACTGCTCATTTATTTCAATGCCTCCAATCCAAATATCCAAAGAAAAAGGCAACTGTAACATTATTTGTATACCTTCTTTACAACAGATATTTTTAAATAGAATTGAAATTAAACAGAAATAAAAATTTAAAAAATTAAACACCACAGAAAATGGTGCAGGCACAAGTTATTTTATACAAACATAAAATAGGAATAGAAACTATTTTATTTTGCTTCATTCACTCTTACATTGTAAAAAATTCAACTATCTTAATGGATAAAAGTTTAAGAGAAAAAATGTTTAAGCTTGTGCGTTTTTTCAAAGCATATGCAGTACAGGTTAACATAACTAGGAAAGTGATATTTAGCTCCATTCATACTCTTCTGCATCTCAGTTCACTGTATTTTTTTCTCCCTAGAGTCAGTCAAATATACAAATGCAAATGGTTATAAAATTCTAAACAAAGGACACTAAAAATAGCTCAGTCCCAGGCATTCATTTTTATAATTTAATTATTTTCCATCAGTTTCTAACACATTTGCCGATATTGCATGTTTAGAACAAACCATTTTCTAGCTACTGGAAGATATGACTGTTAAATTGGCAACTTTCTATATAAAGGGTTACTATATTAGAATGGCAATAATAGCCAGAGATTCTGGATATAATCTTAAATTACAGAACTAAAAGAAGTTACACAAGTGCTAGATCATTAATAAGACAGAGTTTTGCAAACATTTTATGTAAAGGGCTAAATAATAAATATTTGAGATTCTACAAACCATATGGTCTCTGTTCCAACTACTCAACTTAGCCTTTGTACTGTGAAGACAGCCATAGGCAATACATAAATCCACAAGTGTAACTGTTTTCCAATAAAACTTTATTCAATGTTGTTTTTGAAAATTCTATTAATACTTTCCTATTCTTCCCTCTGATTAGTAACACATAATAAATAAAAGAAGTTAAATTTTTGAAACAGTTAGATTTTGTTCCTGAGGGTCATTAATTTTAACATTAATCCTTACTATGGGATATTACAGAAACAGACAATCAAGATTCGTTTGCATAAAGAAATGACCCTGGCTCATGTTGAAAGTGGTCTGATTTCATTAAATGATCTGATATAAACTTGTTAACACCCACAATTCAGGTTAAGTCAGAAGATTCTGATTAGTGAAGAATTAATTTCCTAATGAACTAAGGATTTAGTATAGTTACATCGCTTTTAAAGAGTTCATATTTGGGCCGGCCCAGTGGCGCACTGGATAGTGCGCCGCTTGGGAAGCGCGGCGGCGCTCCCGCCCGAGGGTTCGGATCCCACATACAGACCGGTTCCCACTCACTGGCTGAGCGAGGCGCGGGAGCAACGCCGAGGGTTGCAATCCCGTTGCCGGTCCCCGGTCCGGTACGGGGGCAACACTGAGGGTTGCGATCCGTTGCCGGACACGGAAAAAGACAAAAGACAAAAATAAATAAATAAATAAATAAAGAGTTCATATTTTTAAAGACCAATGGAAATAGAAGAAAAAACAAGCATAATTTTCTTTTAAAAACATAAAACATACGTTGGATGCTGCATCATCCTCCTCCTTTGAACTTCCATCCTCTGCATAACTTCATGAGGATGCAGTCTCTGTGCTGGAGGTGCTGTGGCTGGAATATGGTGCGAAATTGGCTGGTGTGTAGGAGGAAGATGCTGAGGGATTGGTGCAGCTGTACTGGCTAAATGAGTTGGGGGTGGGGGTGCCACAGGGTGAGATGTTGCATGAGAAGATATTTGAGAATGGAAAGCATGTACAGGATGAGGAATAACATAATCCACTTGAGGTGGAGGCTGAGTTTGAGGAGGTGGGTTTCCATGAGAGTGGGGGCAGGCAGAAGCTTGATGATGAAGTGGTCTTGTCAAAGAAGCATCTGCAAGAAAAACATTTCAGGTATGTTACATAGGCACCATGCAATTGACAATACATTGCCATTACATATTCCTGTTGTATTTTATAAACATATTAGCACATATTTAATTTTTATGAATACTGTATCAATGCCTGAGTCTGCTCAAGAAATCTGCTTTCTTCTTTGAATAATCTTGGATATCTTCTCATGTCAACGCATATAGTTTTACTTCATTCACAGCTTCACAACATTCTATTATAGGAATGTACCAAAATTTATTGAGGAACTCCCCACTGATAAAAATTGGAAGTAAGGCAAATGATGTGATAATAATCTCTGTGCATGACTCCTCTTGGGTTCACATTCTTTCATATACACACTGTGTACACATATATACTCATAGACTGTTTTGTAGCATTAATTCTTATAAATACTTGTGAGCCTGAGGGAATAATTTAAATTCAGATACCTGGTAACAAAATACCCTTCTGAAAGGTTGCCATAATCAATAGTTTCATCAACAGTATGCAGGGATGCCTGATTACATCCACACTATCACTAAATTTTTTAAATGCCAATCTGAGAAGAATCTTTTAATTATTGACTACTTAAATTTCTTCTTCTCAGAATGACCTATTTATATTCTTAGCCTATTGTGTTATTCACCTTTTTCTTATTGATTTATAAATATTCTTTGTATATGTGGAAGCTTTGTCATAATTGGGTGTAAACATTGCTCCAAATTGTTTTTTACTTTTTTGTCACACACAAGTTTTTTTGCATTTGTGCAGTCGAATTGTATAAATTATATATTGATAAACACATAAATCTTATTTTCCTTTATGATTTATTGGTTATAGGGAGCTACAGCAAAGAAAGGAATTTGCAAGCCCTCCTGGACATGACTGCAAAGATATTTTTTTTATTGCTGCTCCTATCTCTCCCTGCCCCATGTTATTTTTCCATGCTACATTAAGATAAAAGAGACATATTTGTCAGGAAAACTCCCATAAAAGTAAGCCCTTAATAAAATGGTTCCCTCCATCTCATTATTCCAAATCTTTATGTCTCAAAGTGACTGGTGAAAGACCCTTCTGAGAAATACATGTCTCCTGCTCCAAGAGATCTATATCTACCTGACATGCAAAAAATGTTTGTCTTGGGCCGGCCCGGTGGCGCACTCGGTAGAGTGTGGCGCTTGGGAGTGCGGCGGCGCTCCCGCCGAGGGTTCGGATCCCATATAGAGACCAGTCTGCTCACTGGTTGAGCACGGTGCCGGCGCGACACCGAGGGTTGCGATCCCATTGCCGGTCGCGGTACAGGCGCGACACCGAGGGTTGCAACCCCTTTACCGGTCACGAAAAAAGACAAAAAGGAAAAAAAAAAAGTTTGTCTTCTTCGAATTTCAGCCCAAATTTCATTTTATTGGAAAATATTCTCTAGTTTCATTATAGAAGTATTTTCTTCCATTTTTAATGCTTTTGATTAATTCAGCAAGGGTGAAAGTTAGGTAACCATAACTCAACTCAGCCAAATTTTCAAAGGAAGCCTTGTCAGCATGTATTTAAAGGAAACTTTCACTAAACCCAGTATAAGTTGAGACAAATTTTTAAATGAATTTTCTAAAAGTTATGTTTTCAAATCAATGTTTTACTACTTTTCAAGAAGGCACAAAGCTCAGTATCTCTTGGCCATTAAAAAAAAAAAGTATGTTTTATCATTATCTTTACTCAAATTCTCAACATTTTCCCCAGTTTCACTTCAAAGTTTTCTATTTCTATAATCATTACACAAAACATAATATTCGCAAATATTCCAAAATCTTAAAGTTTTGTTTCAGAATGAATCAAGTAAGTTTAACTCTTCAACAACCATTTTAATTTACTGTTTATCTAAACTAAACAGATAGCTAACACACGTTCTAGACCATTTCTCTTCCTTTTCTATTTAATGTGTCTTATTGCCAGTAAAAAAAAAAATGTTCTTGATATTGATTCCTAAAAGTTCAATATGTCACCTGCAGATGCAATATTATGATTTATTCCAAAATTTAGTCACTAAATTCTTAGGAGTCTTTTTTTATTTTTTTTGTCTGCTGCTTGGTGCAGGGGATCCAAACCCTTGACCTTGGTGTTACCAACACCATACTCTAACCAAGTGAGCTAAATGGCCAGCCTTACTCACTAAATTCTTATAGCTTTACAGTGTACACCAATCGCATAATGGTTAATCATAAGTTCTTGATATTGACGCCTAAAAGTTCAATATGTCATTTGCAGATGCACTATTATGATCTATTCCAACATTTGCTCACTAAATTCTCATAGCTTTACAGTGTGCACCAATCACTTAATGATTATTCATAAGTAGCCTTATTTATATGACTTACCAATACTTATTAATATATAGCAAAACTTTTAAATAATAGCATTTCAAGTACATTGTTTTATCATTTCAAGACCACAAAATTTTCAAAAGCAAGGACACATTTTCTTATTTCACCAGTACTATTGGTATGAGTGTAAATGTACTTATAAAACAGCAAATTTTTCACTTGGTCAAATTTTCACAGTTATAGACAATAAGAACTAGTTCCAACTTACAAATGTGAAGAAACTGAGGACAGACAGATTAAATAACTTCCCCAAAGTCACCTAAGCTAGTTAGTCAGAGTTGGGAGGTAAACTTAGATCTAATTCTAAAGCCAGAGCTCTACTACACCACACCATCTTCCTCAGTTCAATTTAATAAAGAAGGATTTAAGAAGTAAATGTTTCACATGTGATTTAAAGTATACTGGAAGTGGTTTTTAAAAGTACAGGGGAGTGGGGTGAGAGAGAACACACACACACATTCCACATAGGAAAAGCGGTCCAGAGAAGGGTTATCAGTCAAAATGTCTCTAATAAAAGACAATACAATTCAGATTTCCTACCTTCATTCTCATTCATACACTCCCAATGAGAAGTATAAATTGATACACCCCTTGGAAACAAATTTAGGAGTATTTATTTGAAAGTTTATCTCTTTGACACAGCAATCTCACTCCTAGGAAGCTACCCTAATAGATAGACTCAAACGACTATAAACAATTCAAATGTCCATCAACAGAGGACTCATTAACATACAACGGAATAATTTGATGGTATTAAAAACGAGTGAGTCTGATTTTTATGTGCTAATATTGAAAAAATCCAAGGCAGAATCATCCCTTTTTTTTTTTTAAGGAGAGACATATATACATACACAGATGTGTATAAAAAGAAAATTTCTGAAAGTTTTTATAATAAGCTGTAAGCAGTTTTACCTTTGAGGTATTAAGATTAGTGAGATGTGGACAGAAGTGGCTTTTTAATGTCTCACTTATTTATTAGGACATTAAAAAGGAATGGACTTATAAACTGCTTCAGTATATTATTTTTTAAAGGAAACCCACACATATTGAGTTCTTAATGAAACATGATCAATTAACAATGAATGTCAACAAGTATTACAAAACAGCCTGTACATCATGCCAGTGTTCAAACAGAATCCGCCCACTGGTCAGTGTTTTACAAAAACTGTTTCCAAATTTGTTTTCCAACTTATACTTTAAATGTTAAGTTGCATTATTGAAAAGGTAAATAATATACTACCAGCTAACACTGTACAAATACTGGGTTGATTCCAGTTGTATCTGCAGGATGCAGATTTTTTAAATTACTGGAGTGGAAGAAGAACTTGAAGAAGATATATAATTGAAAATTATCCCTTGCATGAAATTAGAACAAATGATAAACTTCCTTGCAAACTTCCTGGTTTACCTGGCATAAATTTTCAATGTTCATGATAAAGGTATTAAGTTTCCATTTGATTACTAGCTTACGATCTAACAAAGTAGTAAATAGGTTACGTAGCCTAAAGGTATTTACCATTTCTTACGATATCGAATGGATTTCAATTTCATTAGAAAAGCCATGCCTGGTTCTTTTTTAACTGCCTGCACCAAATCAGTTAAAAACCTTTTTTTACCAACTGGCAAAGCTTTCAGTGAAAGAATTCTCTCTTAGGCCTCAGTTAATTGCTTGAGAATTCTTAGACAAAAGTTTACTGTGCCTAGAAATACTACTAAACTTTCACATTTCTTCAATTACTTCTATAGAATAAATCTAAATTCCTTAAAACTTCCAATTATAAGAACCTAAGGTGCCATTCGATGCCCCTCAATTTCATAAATCTTAATGGGAAAAATACACTACCACTCTTAAGCCAAGTAAATACTAAAAATGTATGAATTAGGATTAATGAAAGACTATTTCATGGAAGAATACAGAATGCTTCATCTTATGCCTCTAGGTTCTTTGCCTATTACATTTATACTTACAAGGAGGTGGCATATAATGTCGACATGATGAGAGAGAGGGTTGTGGAGGGGCCTGGGGCTGGGGCTGGGCAACCATGCTTGATCCATAACCATCTATTGATAATGGCTGACTCGGGGTTGCAGCAGAAGCCTGATGGCCAAAGATTGCAGCTCGGGAAGAAGAAACAGGGCAGCAGGGGTCAAATGCAGATGCTCCATGAAAACCACCACTTCCATGACTTCTGATACCATTGTTGCTCAGGTCTACTGGCAATGCCTGCTGTATAAAGAGGAACTATATTTTATCTTTCCCAAAGTTTGGTCAAAACAATGTCATGTTGTATTAATAAAAGTACTTCTAATGAAACCTAGAAAAATACCATTTTTTAATTAATTTGAAAATGGTAAGATTCTTAGTGTGAAGACCTACTGAGCACCAAGAAAATAATACATATCTTGGATTGTGACACTAGTGGTTTTATACTTAAAATCTAAAATCAATTCTTAAAAAATCAAGCCTAAGATTATATCATAAGATGAACAAAAGTTTAATAAAGTCTATTTATTTTACATTATCCACATCTTAAAGAGAAAAAACTTTAAAATCATACTTATATATATATTCTCCTTTGCACAAAAATTCTGACCAGTAATTTAGGGCTCCTTTAGAAAGTGTATAATCATACCACTGAAAACATTAAGGTTCTAGGTAGAAACTTGTCTACCCCAAGTTTCTAAAGTTTATATAGAAAGCATTCAACTGAAACTCTAAAAATGCAAACAAACCCATATCATCCAAAATAAAAGGGCATAAGATCATTCAGGCTAAGTCATGAGTTAGCTTTGCCTCTTAACCTTTCTGCTTAGCCAAAAAAAAAAAAATTGTTTTTTAATTCAACCACTGATTCCTTTTATTAGAAATATTATTTGGGGGAAGGCCCCTTTACTAGACTGGGAAATAAACAAGAGTCTAGATTCCATCTCTTCTCCTCAGTAATTAAGTTTTTCCCCTAAAAGCATTTTGAAAAGTCTTAAGTAGACTTCTTCATCTTCTACTCCATAGCAGACTAGAGAACAAGAATTGCTTCTTTGTATTCTTAAATAATTTAAATATAAGCCTACTGCCTAGGTTCAGTGAAGCTGTACTTTTCAAAATGTGATTAAAGACCAGATGTTATAAACGGAATTATATACAAGAACCATTCAATACTGAATGCTGAGGGACTGGAGATGAAGAAAGCTGGCACTCAACCATAAGACACCTTGCACAATCACAAATCCTCAAATAACTTGTCTGGTTGTTCCATTCCTCAACTTCCTACTGTGCCCAACTAGATCTCAAGTGGAGACTATCTGAGGTTATCTCATGAGTGTGTGGCTAATTTCAAAGTCCCTCAAATGTGTATCCAAGGGCTAGCCCGTTAGCTCAATTGGTTAGAGCATTGTGTTGTAACACCAAGGTCAAGGGTTCACATCCCAGTGCCAGCCAGCCAGCCAGCCAACAACAACAACAAAAGTGTATTTGAGTCTCAAATTGTTATTTTCAATATCTCACTCTCTGTTCACCTTCATACCCATTATCAACAGTGAATATCTGGGATCTTGCTTGATTCTTCCCAAGTTTTGTTTGCAGTCCAAACACCTCTATTTAAAGATGGGTAAATAGGTTACATTTATTTTACACTGAACAGAACTGTAAAAGGGATTCTACCCATAATTAACTAACTCAGGTTGAAAAAAAAATGTGTACATAATTCATCTTTCGAACCACCTGTATTATTTTATTAATTCAACAACAGAATATTCTGTGAATGAGAAGCCCACCTTTTGGTAGCTCGAGTGAATGCAGGAGAGGCTGGTAGACACACTTCATTTTGATAAGATACTTTTGAGGTATCCTTTCAATTCAAATTTTTAGTAAAAGGAAGTTTTACTTTTAAGCAGGGCCTTTCATTCAGTCCACTGCAAAGTTTTTCTTGATGTTACCTCATTCCCAAGAGGCAGAAGAGGTCCAGACAATCACTTAATACCTAGAACTGTTACCAGAACCAAAACAACATCTAAATTCTCTTTAAATCACATTTTCTACTGCAGCCTTTCAAATTTCCTCTTGACAGTAGCAGCTAGCTTTATATTTTAAAAGAACACCCCTCCTTCTTGTTTTTAATTTTTCAGACCCAAAAGAGATAACCACCAAAATTTAAAAGTTGAAGGTGGTACTTCAGGAAAGGCCAGGTGATATAGAAAAGCAGTTGCTCTGAATTTTTTTCTTTTTTCTAGCATATTTTATGTCAAAGACATATGAAATTAGTCACCGGGCCATGAGATAACCTCAGATAGTCTCCACTTGAGACCTATTTGGGCACAGCAGGAAGCTGAGGAATGGAAAAAACACAATTTTCCCCTGAAATTACATCTTTTGGTTTTTAAAGAATGCAGCACTGATTTATATCATAATTATACACAAAGACAACAGACCAAAAGTTAAAACAGCATATAATACCCAACTTCATTTACTCCATGTGATCACCAACACTAATTTAATATTATTTGACAGTTCAAGCACTCAATAATATCAACTAATTTACTTAATTATAATTTTTACTGACATTTCAATTCTCCATAAACTAAAAAACCTCATCTGCTCCTGAGAAACTACGCTACTGGTTTGCATTTGAGAAGGCTATTTATTTCTAGATGAGTGGAGGGTATAGTGAGCTCTAGAGTAAGAAGTAGAAGGGAAAAACCCGGGAGAATTTTCCAATTTCTCATGAATTAGGTTGACACCATGGTTTCAACACTTTGCTTGAAATAAAATCCCAAAGATCAGATTCACCTGTGTTTGATTAAAAACACCAAAAACGGGGGCCAGCCCATGGCTCACTTGGGAGAGTGTGGTGCTGATAACACCAAAGCCACGGGTTCAGATCCCATATAGGGATGGCCGGTTAGCTCACTGGGTGAGCATGGTGCTGACAACACCAAGTCAAGGGTTAAGATCCCCTTACCGGTCATCTTTCAAAGAAAGAGAAAAAAAAAAAAAAACCACCCAAAACCATTCCAGAATAAAAAAGTGATTTTTAGATTAAGTATTACTTTTGATTTTCCACATCCCTGGGTCCTGATCCTCTGAATTAACTGCGATAATTTAGACCATCTGAAAAATCCCAGAGATTAAAAAAACAAACAAACCACAAACCACTAAATCAGGCCATTTTTGAATGCAAGAATATGACTTATTTAGTATGCAAAATTTACCAATAGGGTTTGTTTTCTCCTCCTGAAAGCACCACAATTAAAAAAGAAAGGGAGGGAGGGAGGAAGGAAGAAGGAACGGGGGATGTGAGGCGGGGTTGTGTGGAGGGAGGGAAGGAGCAGGAGAAAAGGAGGCAGAGAGGAAGGAAGGAAAAAAAGACTGACTCAAATTCCACATACCTGATCATGGTAGCTGGTTCCAGAACTACTATTTGCTCCACAAGGTGCTTGTACTTGTGGAGGTCTTTCCACAGGGCAAGTAGGATCACTAAAGGAAGGAGAAACTGGGACAGCTGGGTGGGGAGTATGGTGGTGGTGGTGGTGATGTTGAAAATGGTGACCATGCTGCTGAAAGCAATTTGTGTGTGGATGTCCTAATGCATGGTGATTCTGTGATGACCCTCCACATGGCGAGTGCTGGGGACAGCAGGAAGGTAACCTTGGCATTGCAGTAGGGCTGGTTTCTGTTACAGCACTAGATGCAGTTCTCCTTGAGTCATCTTGAAATGGAAAAAAAATGTATAAAACAATCAAACCATTGAATATCACTGTGTAAAAAATATGTACTGGGTATAAAAAAATAAAGAATTAAGAATTAAAATCTCTGTAAATAAGAATGTGATACTGCCACATTCTTAACATACACATTATATAATTTGGGGCAGTGATCTTCATTGGGATTTTCCTGAAAGCCTAAATTCTTCAGAGGGCTTATATTTACCATGAAGTGTAAATATGGTGACATATCATCTTTTCCTAGGTCATAACATATGGCTATCAATAAAACTAGACTTCAAAAATTCTAAAATATCACCAAGGTCAAGGGTTCAGATCCCCATACCAGCCAGCCACCAAAAATAAATAAATAAATAAAATAAAATATCACCGAGTCATTCCATTATATACTACAAAGCAAAAGACTTTCTCCTGAGCTCCATGAACTACACCATAATCATTACTACATAATGCAGTCTGCTATGTACTTCTTAAAATCTCACCTTCTTAGGACATAACCACCCAACTCAGAGGGTATCTGGCTGAGTCTCACTTCCCTTCCTCTGGCTTCTTTAGTCAGAATCAATGGAATATAATCAATATAATAAATATAATTATAAATAAAAGAAATATAAGACTCCAACATTTAGAAAATGAAATGTGTCTTATAAAAATCTAGTGACTTAGTTTAGCATAGTGGAGAAAAAAAGCATGGAGTCAGGTGGACCTGGGTTCTAATCTTAAGTATGAAGCTTAGCAACGTGACCTTAGGAAAGTTATTTAACCTCCTTCTCATGTATTAAATGGGGCTACAATTGCTGTGAATGGCTGTTATGAACTCTAGATGATAATTTATTAATTATGAAACATCTGAGTTCTGATTATGCTCTCTACCACATGCCCAGTTATTCTGAAGATACATTGTTCTACACCAGAGAAACTGCAGAAGTGTACCCAGAAAGTCTACCCATGTTTCAAACTCATCTAAAAAACAGAACCCCTTCCTCAAACTAATTATTACATGAAAACTACATAAAACACATAAAAATAGGGACTTCTGGTTAAATTAGATGAGTGGAGAGCCCAAAGCCAGAGCCCTGCATTCCCCATCCCCTACGTGTAACCCCCCTCACTCCCCAGTGGCTTTTGAGGCATCTCCTTAGAATCCTTAGGATTCTGGAGCACCACTGTTCTAGGCTTGTTTCTAGAGTAACCAAAACCAGGGATACTCTGCTACTATGTGGCTCACAGTACCTAGCTAATATCTTCTGAGCCAATGTATCAATTAGGAATCTTCTGGTTATAAATAATATAAAAATCAAATAACATAAATAATATAAAATAAGGGCTGACCAGTTAGCTCAGTCGGTTAGAGCACCTCCTTGTAATACCAAGGTCACAGGATCGGATCCCCGAACCGACCAGATACCAAAAAAAAAGAAGATACATATACATATATATATATACACATATATATACATATATATATCTCAGACAAAAATAATATATAAAATAATTCAAATAATATAAAATAAAAATCCAACTAAAACAGCTTAAACAATAAAAAGAATTTATGGGTTCACATAAATGAATCTGGGTAGGGGTACTTCAGGTTCAGGTTGACAGGATTCCAGCAAATTTCCCTGTAATTTTGCTGGCTGTGCCTTCCCATACATGTCCTATCCTGCCCTTGCTGATTCTCTTCTGTGCAAGTTCTGTGCTCTAAACTCTTATGTAGTATCTCTATTCTAAATTTCTTCATATCCATTTTATTCCAAGCTCCTAGTCTGGCCTATTTGGGATAATCTTCTGAACCCTTTTATAAAGTTTCTTAACCTAGGAACCAGAATTCCAGGGTCTGTGAACTTGGATGAGAAGAAAAAATACAGATGCTTCTTGACTTATGATAGGGTTACATCCTGAAAAGCTCATCATGAATTGAAAATATCCTAAGCCAAAAAAGCATTTAATATACCCAACCTACAGAATATCATAGCTTAGCCTACCCTACCTTAAACGTGCTCAGAACACTTACATTAGCCTACAATTGGGAAAAGTCACCAAAGTCTACATCATAATAAAGTGGTGAATATCTCATGTAATTTACTGAATACTGTACTGAAAGTGAAAAACAGAATTGTTGTATGGATACTCAAAGTATAGCTGAATGTGCAATATTTTCACATCATCCTAAAGTAGAAAAATCATAAGTCAAACATTAGGGACCGTCTGTACAAATTTTACTAACCTATACTTGCCTCCTGGGATTAGTACTATGTCAGCAATAGTTAACAGGTATTCCAAATAATTCATAACAAAAACAATTAAAGCCAACAAATTATATATTTTTAAACATAAGTCATAGCACATTCAAAGTCAGTTCTATAATCTTATCACTTTCATTCACTTGCATTCCAAATGTGCTGAATAACCTAGACAGAGTTACAACTAGCATATCAGGAACTGACCATGATCAACAACTTTTCTTAGCTATGCTGAATCTAACATTAAGTAACCATTTCCTATATGTTATAATATTTGTAGCAATTAATCATTATCACACTAGCTTTACTTTCTGAAATATTTTTAGGGCTTTATCTCAGTACCCATGAAAAAGTGTTGTACAAAAGTGAGTGTCATTTATCGTGTGTTAAAAAAAAAAAAAGGTTGAAAACCCTTAAGACATAAAATCCATCCACTAGATGGACTAAACGACCTTCCTGTTTCCATCTCTGACACTTTAGTTTTACAAACCAAGTTATGTGAGGATTATATGTGATTTTAAGATTCGGGTATGAGTTTGTAACCAGAGCAAAAGATTTATGGACTGCTAGGGCCATGACTAAAGTGATGGATATGACGGTTATCTGTTCAGAAATAACTAGTCCATTTTTGTCTTTGAATATTTTGCATACAAAAATCAAGAGTGAGCGAAGAGGAAGCACAATGACTACAATATATTTAATGCTAAATACATATTTAAGGGGTCAAATCATTAGCAATGCACCTTCAAAAAGAAGACTAACCTTATAGCTCTACTTCCTAGGGTAAAGCCTTGGCTTCCAACTAAAGTTTATTTTCCTACAGTCCAGAACCTCTTTGTTTCTCAAATAGGCAAGCAACCTGAAGTAAAGACAATTGATTCTCTTCTCATTTGAGAGTTATTGACCAAAGGAAACTGCCATAAATTAGAAGTGAAATACAAAGATGTCTGATTAGGTAAATAAAACAATCTATTGAGGGTCCACTGAAAATGAAACAATCACAAATCTGCACCACAGAAATTAACACCACAGCCCAGTGACATTAAATTGGTTAAGGTACCTTCACTGTAATTACAGGAGGATTACTGAGATGCGTACATGCAATTGTTCATTCATTTAACAGGTCCTACTCATAATAGTGGCATGGTAAAGGTTTTATAAAAGGCACGAGAAAACGTAAAAGTAAAAATGAAAGCCCTAGCCTTTAAAGTAACTTATAATATTGTCTGCCTTCGTTGTTTACCTCTAGCAACTAGAAACATGCCTGCACAATGTAGGTGGCTCAATAAGTACTGCTAAATTTAAGTTAACCTCACAAGGGAAGAAAGACATGCATACATGGAGCTTAGTGCCAAGAAGAGAAAGACTCGATCTTTGGCCCTGAAGGAGCTCATCATCAAGCATGGCGACAATTTAGGATAAAAATCAACCAGTATTGGGCCGGCCCGGTGGCGCACTGCTACAGTGTGCCGCTTGGGAGCGTGGTGGCGCTCCCGCCGAGGGTTCGGATCCCACATACAGACCGGTTCCCGCTCACTGGCTGAGCGAGATGTGGGAGCAACGCCGAGGGCTGCGATCCCGTTGCCGGTCCCAGTCCGGTATGGGCGTGACAATGAGGGTTGCGATCCGTTGCCGGAGACAAAAAAAGACAAAAAGGAAAAAAAAAAATCAACCAGTATTACAACAGAAGCACTGGGGTCTAGTACAGCATCGAGAAATGCTGCCCTCAGTGGCAAAGCCTGGAGACATTTTTGACTGCCATAACAGAAGGGTAAGTAGTGATACTGGTATTTAACGAGTAGAAACCAAGGATGTTGATAAATATCCTATAATGCACAGGATGGACCCCATACTAAGAATTAATTATCCAGCCCAAAGTCAATAATGACAAGGCTGAGAAATCCTGGCATAAAAAAAAGGACAGGCTTCAAGCCAGATCTTGCCTAAATTTGAATTTGTACTCCATTATCATATAACCTTGGGCAAATTACTTCACCTGTAAAATAGTAAAAGTAATAAATTCTGACTCATTGGTTACTATAAAAATCAGAGTAATATAAACAATTAATAAATACAGACAAATCATTAACCAATATTATAAGCTCAACAAATGTTTATCCTCTAAAATGTAAGCTCTGTTAGGACAAAAGTTTATCTGTTTTGTTCCCAGTGTCTAGAAGAGTGCCTGATACATAGTATGCAATCAATAAATATTGGTTGAATAAATAAATGTATAAGGTATCATGTATGCATAATGCAATGAGCACATGGAGAGATCAGGTACATGATGAGCTGTTTTGGGCATGCTGAGTTTGAGGTGACTGCAGAATGGTCCACAGGAGACGTCCAAGAGGCAGTTGGATAAGAATTTAAAACTAAGACAGTGGTTTAGAATGATGAAAAAGTTTGGGAAATAGATAAGAGTTGGTAATCACACAGCATTGGGAATATAATTAATTCTATGCAAAAATATGTTTAAAAATGCTTAAAATAAACCTTATGTTATATATATTTGATCACAATTTTAAAAAAAAGAGCAGGTTAGAAAATAGATCAAAACAAGGACAGTGGTCTAGAAGCACAGAAGGGAGAGTCATTAGCATACTGGTGATAGGTGAAAACACCTGCAGTTATGAGATGGGCCAGTGAGAAAAGGGATGAGAACATAGTCCTGGGAAGAAAATAAATATGAAAAGGAGATTATTCCCTGATTTTTAAAGATCATGTTTCTTCCTTTTGAATGGAGTCAGAAGCAAGTTAGAAAAAGAGTTTAGGGTAATTAAAACCCACTTAAATGTATGCAGGCATAGTACAAGTGTGTGTGCATGTACTAAAGGAACGAAACCAGTGAAGATGCTGAAGACATGGGAAAGATAATTGCTAAATCAAGGTTAAGGACACAAGAAGGGATAGGAGATAGGGCACAGATAAAAGAACTGAAGGGGAAAGGAAAGAATTAGACCAGAAGTTAGGACAGAAAGATAGGTACAGATATACAAAAGTTTTTATGGAGGCACTGGAATTTGCCGGAGTTCATGCTTGAGAACCTTCATTCATTTTTATTTTTTTGGCGGCTGACTGGTACAGGGATCCCAACCCTTGACCTTGGTGTTATAACACCATGCTCTAACCAACTGAGCTAACCTGGCCAGCTTGTTTATTTTTTATGTATGTCCCCCTGGGGGATGAAAGCCTTGAGGAGAAGGACAGAGTTTTGGAGGGGAAAGAAAGGGAACTGATTGAGATATATAATACTACGGTGATTTACTAACAAAAGCCCAAGATTAGATACCATAAATTTATGGAGACACCAATCTGCTTGGTTATATGATATTTACCAGCACCACATAAGAACCTGGATAAGACTGAAGCTAGTATTTCTTCCTCCTTTTTTCTCCTCCTCCTCCTTTCTTTTCCTCCTCCTCCTTTTTTTCTCTTTCACCCCACTTACCCCCCTCCTCCTCTTCCTTCTTCCTGGAAGGCCAGTTGTTGAACATTTACCACAAACCTCTTGGCATTTCAAAAGTATGTTTAAAAGAAGATGAAACTGAGGTGGGGCAAGATGATAGACTAGAGGTGCCTGAGGCATGTTCCTCCCCCAGAAAAGGACCAGAAGACAGGAGCATCTGTGGGACAGTGCAGGAGGGCAGCAGGAGACTGATGAGATCTCTGTGGAGCATGAAAGCCCAGGATGGTAGCATAGAGAGGAGAGAGGCACATGGCCTCAGCCAACACATCTCTGACACTGGGATCACTGCAGGAAGAACTTTCCCTTGTGGTGAAAAGGTAGGCAAAGGACCTACACCAATCCCCTAGAGGCCCACAGATCCTTTGGCAGGACAAGCCCAGAGCTAAGTGTGGGAAGGAGACTTAGAATACACACACCATGTCGCTCTAGAATACTAGCACAAACTGTGCACTCACCACCCCCACCCTCATGACCCAAACTGATGCAGGATGGTGCCATCTTGAAACCAGAGCCCTTCATGAGGCGTGCCCTGCCCTGGGGCAAGCAGTAAGACTCTGCCCTCATCCCACTGAACTCACATGAAAGGCTGATCCTGGTGGCTTGAAGCCTGGGCTCACAGTGGCTGCAACTCTAGTTCTGCAATCTGGGAAGCCAACCCTAGTCCTGCTGAAATGATGCACCCACCACATTCCCGGCCAGAGATCAGACAGGCAGACCTTCCTCAGGTTGACTCCCTCCCCCATTTCTCCCCCTATGCCCAGCCCTGTCAGCTGAGTTGTGTGCCTGAGCCCCTAACCCGGAGAAAAAGTTCACAGGTCTCTACCCTAACAAACACGCCCTTGGGTTGGTGGAAATAAAATGCATCTGAGCCGCCCCCCTCCCCACAAAAAAGAGTGAAGTTACACGGCTTCAGTAATACAAAGTTATTTTTTATACAAAGCAATACAAAATACAAAGCAATGCAAAGAAATGCAAAAATGTACAAGATATGGACAGGTTGTGTGAAAATAGTTGCACTGATGTTCCATAGTGTCCTGGAAGGAAGTAAAGAATGAAGCAGAATTCAGCACCCCTAATGTAGTCTGACCACCTGTTCTGCTTCTATCAAGTTTATGGAGAAAAGCAATTTGGCCTCAAACAGGTCTAGAGAAATACGACAAAAGAAAGTTTATCTCAAAGATGGTCATCAGTATAGTCAAAGTAATATGAAGAGAGGGCCATTCAGGACTGCAGTGAAGGTGCTACCTAAGAGATTAAATGTGAGTTGTGAGTAAACAAGGATCTTAAAATAAATAAATACATATATAAATACATAAAAGCTTTGGAACTATTCTGAACTAAAGTTAGGAGTATGTCACATAAAATTTAGGTAAGAATAAGGCTACATAAAGCTATAAGGAGAGAGAAGTGAATGAGAAGGTTCAAATTCTTGCCTCAAAGATTATTATTAATCTTGATCAAGGTATTTAACTTTCCAAATTTCATCATTTGTGAAATGGGAAGAATAATGCCAACATCAAAAAAATTTTTAAGGATTAAATGATAATATATAAAATAACATTTAAGATATCAAAGTAAAGTGCTGAAAGAGTATGCACTCAATAAATGAAATAAAAGTTAACCCATTTCATATCTGCCTACATTTTTTCAAAGAATACAGTATTTAAAAGACACCCCTGGGGAATCTCCTTGAGGATTTTTCTCAATTTTACCCTCGGTTTTCCAGAAAAAGGAGTCCTTTCCTAATCCAGCCACAAGTAGTTTTCCAATCTGCTCAATGGAAATTATAAGGATATTATAAGAATTAAATGAGACACTAGTAAAAGCAAAAAGTGATAGAAAATATAATATGGATTCATTATTAATAGTGATATAGTTAATCTATAAGCTATAGGGTCTATGGTGTCTGTTAGTAAGTAATTAAGTTCCTATCCCTATACCATTGTCCAAAGAGAAAGAAAGCTAGTTTAAGGCTCAGTTAGACAGCTGATAGGAGAGAGACAGAGATATCATTGCTAATTGGAACATAGTAACTTGAGATAAGAGCTAAAACTGTAAAACCCTTTGAGGAAAACATAGGAGTAAATCTTTGTCATCTTGCATTAAACAATGGTTTCTTAAATAAGACAGCAAAAGAACAAGCAGCAGCAACAACAAATATAGAGAAAATGGACATCTAAAATTTTAAATTTCCTGTCCCTATTTTCAATTATTTTGGGCATATACCTATGTGTAGAATTAGTGGGTAATATGGTAACACTATATTTAAATTTTTGAGGAACTGCCAAAGTGTCACCCTCAGTAGCTACACCATTTTGCACTCCTACCACCAAATTCACAAGGGTTCTAATTGCTCTATATCTTGCCAACACTGGTTACTTTCTGTTTTTGTGTATTTGTTTTTTATTTATAGACACCAAAGTGGGTGTGAAGGGGTGTTTCACTGTGGTTTTGATTTGCATTTCCCTAATGATGTTGAGCATCTCTGCCTGTGTTTCTTGATCATTTGTATAACTTCTTTGGAAAAATGTCTATTCAAGTCCTTTGCCCATTTTAAAATTAGGTTATCTTTCTGTTCTTGAGATTTAAGAGTTCTTCACATATTCTCAATACCAGAACATTTATCAGATGTATGATTTGCAAATATTTTTCTTCCATTCTGTAGGCTGTTTTTCACTGTCTTCATAATTTCCTTTGATGCACAAAAATTTTAAATTTTGATCAAGTCCAACTTACCGCTTTTTCTTTTGTTCATGCTTTTGGCGTCAGCCATTTACTTCTCCCCAAACTCTCTTAGCTGACCTATAATACTTTGGTTACATATAGCACACAAACTCAAATATGAACTCACTAAGTCTAATAAATGTTACTTTGCTCACATATGAAGTTTACTATAAGGATACACTCTTGCTAATAGAGCTAAAATTTTAAACTTAAAAACAGTAATATTTTTGCTAACAAAAGTAATGACAAAAAGTCACCCTCCCCCACTTTTTTACATACCTACTATAGAAGTACCAGTTGTACTATTGCTTGTAAGAGTAGTTGAAGTCTCTGACACTGTGGAAGGCTGGCTACTTGTGACAGCTGAAGCAGTATCAGAGGCCTGCTCAGAGGTAGATGGATTTGAATTGTTAATGGAAGCACTAGTAGTTTGTGATTCCATCCTCACAGCAGTGGTTGGTACTACAGTAGGTTCTAAAAAATACAAAATATCTACTTAGCATTTCAAAACAAATTAAAGAGTTACATTTTAATCCAAGCTAACATTTTTATCATAATTATTAAAATAACCAAATTTTAAAAATATAAACTCTCTAAATAAGAATATACAGTAAAGAAAGTTTTCATAAAGGTAAACTGCAACATCAAACTGACATGTTACTAAAATATGACTATTACGCTTAAAAAATCCAACACATATGCATATTCTAGTAATTTAGGTGATTGAGTAGTTTTCTGGGTAACTACTATTTAAGTTTTCTAATCTATCACAATGAAAAGAATAAAAAGAAAGTAAAAGTTCCTCTGCTATGCCCACATATATGGTCACAGGCTGTCAGAACAATATTACAAATTGTACCTTCTCTGGCACAGTATGGAATCCTAGGGTCACCCTTGTATAGCAATTCAGATGTCAGCACTGACAGTATGACTATGGATAAGTCACTTAACCCCTCTCCATTTCCTCATCTGTAGAACTGGGAAAGTAACAGAATTTTCTTCATAGAACTGTCATTAGGATGAACTGAGATCACACTTATAATGCGCTTCATATGATGCTTTACACATAGTAATCAATAAACATTAGTTATGAATTTTAGCATCTGTTTTAATCTCTTTTCCATGCCTTTTTGCATGTTTTTAAAAGAAATTTTTTCAAATATTAATATTCCTCAGTACTTTTTAATAGGAATTAAAATTTATGTAGCAGAAAGTAAAAGAAATTTCAGAGACTCAATTTATGAATGAGTTAAACTTCCAACATCTGAATGTAAAATGATTCCTTACAATTGAAAGCAATGGGAATACATCCAAAGCATTGTCACAACAATTACATCTGGAAAAAAGGACTCTCTTAATGTAATATAGAATGAGAGTATAAACTATTCTATACAATTCAGTGTGGTATGCTGATTCCTTAGGCACAGTTAGTCTATATGGAACACTACTTTGGACGACAATACATCCAAATGTATATGCTAATTGCTTATTGCTATGGGATGAATGTGCCCTCCAAAATTCAAGTGTTGGAAACTTGATTCCCATTATAACAGTGTCAAGAGGGTGGGAAATCTGATTCTAGTATTTGAAAGGTAGGGCCTTTGGGAGATGACTGGATCTTGAGGACTCTGCCCTAATCCTAGGTTAATGGTTTAGTGGGTTGTCACAGGAGTGGCACTCATGGCTTTATAAGGAGAGCAAGTAATCACATTAACTCTCTTGCTTATGTCACTCTCATCATGTGATTGCCTGTGTCACCAGGGGACCCTGAAGAGAGTTTCCACCCAGAAGGTGGTCCTCATGAGATGTGTCCCCTAGACCATGGACTTACCAGCCTCCAAAATTATAAGAAATAAATGTTGTTTCTTTATAAATTACCCAGTTTCAGGTATTCTGTTATAAGCAACAGAAAACTCACTGTTACAGAAAATTGATACCAAGAAGTGGGGTGTTGCTGATAACAAATATCTGAAAATATACAAGCAGATTCACAACTGGGGGATGGGCACAGGCTGGAAAAATCTGGAGAAGCAGGTTAGAAAAAGGCTAGATTGTGATAAATGAAGTATTAAGGGCAATTCTATTGAGAGCTCAGAAGGAGACAAAAAGACCAGGGAAAGTTTGGAAGGTCTTAAAGACTGGTTAAGTAGTGATAACCAGATTCTGCTGATAGAAATATGGACAGTAAAGGCAATTCTGAGGAGGCCTCAGATGTAAATGAGAAGGAGCTTATTTGAATCTTTAGCAAAGGTCACCCTTGTTACAGACTGTCAAAGAGCTTAGCTGTATGGTGTCCATGCCAAAGGGCTTTATGGAATGCAGAACTTAAGAGTTATGAACCAGGGTATTCGGCAGAAGGAATTTCTAAGCAGCAAATGTGCCCCCCAAAATTCATGTGTTGGAAACTTGATTCCCATTCAGCAAAGCATTCAGGCAGCTGCATGGCTACTTCTAACGGTCTATGCTGAATTATGGAAGCAGGGGTATGACATAAAGGCAGAATTTATAATTAAAAGGGAAGTACAGGGTAAAAAATTGGAAAACTCACAGCCTAGTCACATAAAAGTGTGTTCAGGAAAGGAAACCAAGGTGTAGCCCAACAACTGTCTGCTAAAGAGATTAGTACAGAAAGATGGGATCATCAAGAGAATGGAAGAAAGACCCTGAAGGCATTTCAGAGATCTTCAAAGCTGCCCCTTTCATCACAGACCCAGCTACCAAAGAAGACAGAATGATCACGGGGAGCTGGCCAGATGCACCCTCCATGGGCTTGCTACCTCGGGCCACCTTGCGATGCTGCTCCCAGCACTCCAGCTGCTCCAGCTGCTACAGCCACAGCTAAATTAGCCCCAGGTGCAGCTAGACCTGCTGATTCAGAAGATACAAGCTGGAAGTAGCATCCATGTGGTGTTGAGTCTACTAGCTCACAGACTGCAAGAAGCGTGGTAGCCTCCACCCAGATTTCAAAAGATGTATGGAAAAGCCAGGCGGCTCAGGAAGATATCTGTCATGGGGCAGAGTCACTGCAGAGAGTCTCCACTAGAACAATGCCAAGAGGAAATGTAGGGTTGGAGTTGCAACTGAGAACCCCCACCAGGGATATACATAGTGGAGCTGTGGGTGGGACTGCCATCAAGACCCCAGAACTGTACAGTTATCAACAAGCAGCACCAACCTGGGAGAGCCAAAGCCAAAGGAGCAGAGCTGCCCAAAGACTTGGGGACCCAACCCTCTCACCAGTGTGCAGAAGATGCAGGAAATGGAGTCAAAGAAGATTATTCTCCAGCTTTCAGATTTAATGCCTTCCTGCTAGGTTTCAGATATACTTAGGACCTGTTACCCCTTCCTTTTGGCTCATTTCTCCATTTTGGAATGAGAACTTCTGTCTTATGACTGTCCCTCCATTGTATCTTGGAAGTAGATAACTTAACTGATTTCACAGATGAGACTTTGGACTTTTGAACTGAAACAATTTAAGACTTTGGAGTTAAAATGCATGTATTTACATGAGAGAAGGACATGAATTTTGGGGGCCATGGGAGGAATATTATGCGTTGAATGTGTCCCCCAAAATTCACATGCTGGAAACTTGATCTCAATTGTAGTGTTAAAAGGGTGAGAAATCTGATTGTGGTTATTTGAAAGGTAGTGACTGGATTGTAAAGACTTTGCTCTCATGAGTGGATTAATCCATTCATGGACTAATGGGTTATCATGGGTGTAGACTAGTGACTTCATAAGGAGAGCACATGAAAATGCTCTTGCCATTCTCGCCATATGATACCCTGCATTGCCACAGGACTCTGTACAGAGCCCCCATCGACCTCACCAGATATGTCCCCTGGACCTTGGATTTCCCAGCCTCCAAAACTGTGAGAAATAAATTTCATTTTCTTTATACATTACCCAGTTTCAGGTATTCTGTTATAAGCTACAGAAATTTGACTAATAACACATATACCTAAAAAAATAAAGCAAGCTTTGTTTCCTCATTTACTTGGGTGTAGCCATAAGCTAAAACAAAACAAAAGCTAAGCAGCACCGAAAGGTACCAGTAATATTAAAGGATAACATAACTTTTAAAAGTAAAATTAGACATTTCAAATAACCAGCATTAATCATTTAAAATTCAGTTATATTGCTTTTCTCTTGTCTGTATTTAAAAAGTGCTGCTTCTACTTTTCAAAACAAAGTTAAATTATGATGATAATATTACAAATGAAACTAATAGGTAAGTCTGAGGTTAGCTTAAATTCCACTTGTAAAAATATTTTTTTTCCCTGAGAAAATAACTACCAAAAGAATTTTAGGCACTTTTTACAAACAAAGAAAATTATATCCATTGAAAAATAACATCAGGAAATCTGATAATTTCCCTGTAGTTTTATAACATATGCCAGTAAGCAATAGGAGTTTCTAGCATATTAAGACATCTCATCTCATCAAATTTACTTCATAATTCTACACTGTTACTACTCCAACTCACCATCTTCGTCAACAGTAAGGTCCACAACTTCTGCTGCATTCTGCCTCAAAGGCTGTATAACAGTAGAAATTCTACTGCGGTTCCGTGGCTCCTGTGGCCGACTTGTATGAGAACTTGAACCTTGGCTCCAATGAGATCTGGAGTGTCCGAGGGTTGAACGAGATCTTAAATGACATCAATATTAAATCAGTAAATATTAATAAAGAACAAAATTTTGTCACCCCAGAAACCCATAAACCTTTCTTTTAAGTTCTTCATACAAGACTTTTCCAAAGAAGCATTGGTAATAGAATTAAAAACTATGACTAGCACAATGCTTGGCACTCAGTGAACTTTGCTGAATGAATAAATCACCAATCAACTGACCTAAGAACACAAGAAATGTTATGTTAGACAAATCATTAGTGTAAAATACAGATTCTGTTTCAAGAATGCTGCTTCAATAACTATGGATCATGAGTACTATGGGTCTTTTTCAAGACTGTCTGTTGCTCAGGTGAATGCACCTGCTTGACATCAAGCATCTCCATAACAAGAAAGATTTCTAGTCACACAAGAAAAAATACGTCCTTAATTTCAGCAGCCCTTATAGTTCATAAAGATTTAATCACTATGGTGCCAAGCACTAGGCACAGTCACAGGATAAGTGTGGCACACATTGTAGAGTATCAATTTTCCTCAGACTTTGAAAAAATCATTTAAAAATTAAAATAAACAGGTATACATTAGAGTGCTCACTTTTATGCCATTAGGAGTAGCACTCTGAGGGGAAAGTAGCAAACAGAGAAGCACATTCTAGGTGAGTCTATAACATGTTTTAGATATAAGAATGTCTTTTTAAAAATGAACACCACACATTAAAATACAACGAACAAATGCATTTCTAAATTCATTCCAACACAAAAATTAAGATTCATCCATAGATTTATTTAGTATATCAAATGTAACAGAGCAACTCTTTACTGCTACCATTATAAATATTTATAATCACCTAAAGCACAAGATGAATGCAGTGTTAAGATTTTATTTTGAGGTCAGGGTAGTGGGGTGGGATCAAAGTGATTCTGGCATAAGGGCAATGTCATTTCCAGTTATTTATCAAAACAATGAGGATTTTTCTTTCAGTTATTAGTTCAGAGCTTAGATGAAATTACTGAGTGAAGAACAAAAAGTCAAAAAATGTTTTAAACTAGGTTGCCCTAACATAATAATAGCACAAATTTCCCTGGTATTGATGAGCAAGATCACGAAAAAAGTAAGATTGAAACAAAAAGAGCTATTTCGACATCTCACTTTGAATTTCAGTACTATCCCCAATATTTGCATATTATTCATATCTAAATTTTAAAAGAGTTAATGAATTCACTGTAACATAAAACAAACTATATTTTGTAAATTACTAAGTAAAATTCTTCTTTATCTAGAGCAATTACTCTTAACTCACTGCACATTTGGGGTGCTTAAAAAAATACCAACCCTTAAGAATCTAGTTCAGTTGTTCTGAGATAGGGTCTAAGCAACAATATATCTTTATTTTATAAACTCCCCAGGTAAATCTAATACAGTTTTGTTTGAAAACCACTAATCTGGTACAGGTTGAGCATCCCAAATCCCAAAATCCAAAATCCAAAATGCTCCAAAATCTAAAACTCTTTGCAGGCCAACATAATGCTCAAAAGCCATGCTCAAGAAAAACACTCATTGGAGAATTTTGAATTTTCTGATTAGGGATGCCGTCGTGGATTGAATTATGTACTTCCAAAACTCACTGAAGCTTGAATTATGTCCCCCAAGTTTTATGTATTAGAAACTTAGCCCCCACTGTGACTGTTAACAGGGTGGGAAATCCTATTACAGTAATTGAAAGATGGAGCCTTGAAGAGATGACTGCATTGTAGGACCATGCTGTAATGCATGGATTAAAAATGGTGGTCAGGGGCATGGTTCTGAGAGCTCCACCATCTTGCAGTGTGAGACCCCTGGATCACTCTCACCACCACCAGGTGGACTTTGGACTTCTCAGCCTCAGAAACTGTAAGCAATAAACCTCTTTTCTTTATAAATTACCCAGTCTCAGGTATTCTGTTAGAGCAACACAAAACGGACTAATACAGATGCTCAACAAGCATATATGTGCAAATATTCCATAGTCAAAAAAATCCAAAATCTGAAATACTTCTGGTTCCAAGCATTTCAGATAAGAGATACTCAACCTCTATATGCATACTCAAAAATCAGGACTCAAAAAGAAAAAAAGAAAAGATTACAAATATCTACAGCACAAATATGTTTAAATGTTTATATTTAAAACTTCAAATATACAACTGGGAATTAAAATCTCACCGATAGCTTTCTCCAACTGTTACAATCTCCACTTCACTGTCAGTTGAGGTAACATTAATTTCTTCATTGGCAGTGACCTGAGGAGTTGAGGAAGCTTCTATCACAACAACATCTTCATCAATACCTCCTAGAAACAAAAAGAAAAGTCATTTAAAGGGTATCTGCCTGTCATTTAATAATATGGTAATATTACTATTATTATCATAATAAAAAAAATTATTGCTAGACAAAAAATTTGATTTTGATTTTGAAGACTATGAAATTCATTACAAAAATAAATATATTTGTCAAAATGAAAGTTTTCCAAAAAAAAAAAAAAAAAAAAAAACCCACGGAACTAATTACACATAGTGTTTCAGAACATTTCAAAATCCCCCAAAGACCTCATAAGCCCTGTTTCAGTCAATCATCATCCCCCACACCCACCCCTACACCGCTGTAACAACTGATCTGCTCCCTGTCGTTACGGATTGGTTTGTATTTTGTAGAGTTTTACATAAGTGGAGTCATATATCACATAAACTGGCTTCTTTCACTCTGTATTTACTTCGAGATTTATTTGTGGTGTTGTACCAATAGTTCATTATTTTTTATTGCTGAGTAGTATCCCATGGTATGGATATAACACTATTTGTTTATCCATTCAATTGTTGATGAACACCTGGATTTTTCTCAGTTTTTAGATATTACAAATAAAGCTCCTATGAACATTTGTGTATAAGCCTTTGCACAGATGTGCTTTCATTTAAATCTTGGGTAAATACTTAAAGTAATTTCTGGTTTCTATGGCAAGTTTATGTGTAACTTGTTAAGGAAATGCTAAATCGTTTTCCTAAGTGGCTGCACAATTTTACATTCCCACCAGGAAAATGAAGGCTCCAGTTTCTCCACATCTTTGCTAATACTTATTATTGTCTCACTTTTTGAAGACTCTTTGCATAGTGATATCTTATTAGTTATTGATATTGAACACTTTTTCATCAGCTGCTCTGGTCAAATGTCTATTCTTTTGTCCACATATTCTCTAGTCCATTTAGACTTTTTGTCTTATTGTTGAACTGTAAGACTTCTTTATAAATTCCGGATACAAATGTAATCAGATACATTATTTGCAAATATTTTCTCCCAGTTTGTAGCATATCTTTTCATTTTCTTAATGGTGTCTTTTGAAGCCTAAAAGCCTTTAATCTTGATGAAGTCCAACTAAGCAATTTCTTTTGTGAATAATACTTTTGCTGACATATTTAAGCAACTTCTGACTAACCCAAGGTCACTGAAATTTTCTCCTGTGATATTTTTGAGGTTTTCTGTTTTTGTTTTTTTTTTTTTGTCTTTTTGTAACCAAAACTTTAATCACAAGGATTCTCACAAAACATATTACAAATGACAGCATGAAAAAAAAAATCTTACACAGTAACTCAAAGTTCAGCTCTACAATGCAGCCTTAAACTGACAGGACACTGGTATTGTGAAAATTTCCAAATAATGTTATAAACAGCTATGTGTTCATATATAGTAATCACATAAGAACTTATGACGTAAAGCAAAGGGAAACTTTCTTGAAACTTAACAGATTCTATACCAACTAGGCAACCTCTGCCCAGGATAAAGACTAGTTGAATTTTTTAAAAACTTCTAATTTAGTTTAATGGTGCAGCTTTTATTTTTACCTACTGGCTTTGTGTTCGTGGCAGTTTTTAAAGACTGCTTTGTTCACCTATAGCTGTGTAGCATATCCCAGCTATGGAAAAAAATAAATCTTAGTTAAATTTTTACCAGTTTTATTTCTATATTAAAACATCACACTTTAGCTGGGCAGGATTTAGAGGTTTATCATCAGTCTACACAAGACTAAAGTTCAAAGCAAATTCAATTCTGCTTAAGGGAACATTGTAAAGTAACAATTCTTGGTATTACATACCTCATATGATCCATTTCAAACTACAGAGAATTATACCTTTGTGTGTGTCACTGTTCCAAGAGACAAATTCAAACAGCTAAAACATCTTAAAAATGCACCAAGCTTATGAAGTCTCAAACAAAACTTGAATTTTCTATACATACTCTTGTCAAATAAAGTTATTTCCTGTACAATATTTCCTGTATTTTCTGTTGCAAACTGATCTTCCATTTCCTTTCATTTGACCTATACTGGCTACAAGGTCTAGAGAAGGATAGGGATGGCTTGTGATTTCTCTCCTGAGACAGTGATCTGTCTCTTTTCTTGTCTCTAGAAAGAGACCTGCTCTGGCTGCAAGAGAAGTTTCTTCTTCTTGGAGATCTGCAGCAAGGTGGAGGACTCCTTGTATGATAATCATCTTGAGGGCAACAACCCGAAGAATGAGGTGGACCACGATTCCCACTTTTTTTCCCCACCATTCAGCAGTTCCTCTCTTACACGGCAGTTACATAGTGTTCTTCCATCCAGCTCTCCGACAGCATCAGCTGCATCTTGGGGATCTTCAAATTCAATAAAAACAAAGCCCGGAGGGTTTCTAGCACTTCAGAGTGGTCCAGAATAGCCAAAAGCCTGCCCCAATTCAGTCTTATTGTCATTGTTTCCAAGATTACCTACATAAACCTTACAGCCCAATGGACAGGAATCACAATGCATTTTGAGATCCTGGTTTAGAAATGTAGAGGCTCAAATCCACAGGATCTGATGGGTCTTCTCATTCCCCTCTGGCCTGGTTCCTAGAGATGCTCGTGTTTACCTGGCATCCACAAAATCTCCTATGCTTTCTTCTAGAAGTTAAATTTAGGCCTATAATCCATTTTGTTAATTTTTGTGTCTAACAAGAGGCAACGAGTCTAAATTCATATTTTTTGCATATGAATAAACAATTGTCCCAGCACTGTTTGTTGAAAGACCTAGAAAAATTCTATTTTTGTTTTTTTGGTGACTGGCCGGTATGAGGAATCAAACCCTTGACCTTAGTGTTACAAGGCCACACTCTATCCAACAGAGCTAACCAGCCAGACTTAATAATTCTATTTTGATACCTAGCAGATTCAGGTTTTTCTAATTATTCTTCAGAATTATAAAATCAAGGGGAAAGAAAAATTCCTGAGATTTGGATTGCCTGGCATTAAGCAACACTAATGAAACCCCGACATCCCTACAATACATATTATTTCACCTAAGAAATATGTTGCCATCTACCAATATCAATATTGCAGGGCTTGGTTTTATTACAAATGTAATTCTCTATAAAGCTATAAAATTTTCTTCAAAATACTCCTAATTAAGATTATTCTTAGACACTTTATTCTCTTTCTTGCTCTTGTAAATGAGCTCCCTTTTTCATATTTTCTGTTAGTATGAAGGTATACCATTGATATTGTATATTCACTTGTATCCAACTCTTACCGAACTC